GGCACAGACACCTTCTTGCTTCAGTGAAGCACCACAGCAATAATGTAGGTAGAAGAGTGGGTCTGTGCTTTGGACCACTGGCAGTTAGAAAACACCTGCAGGGTGTTCCGCTGGCTCAAATCATCAGGAGCCAGAGATGTCTGAAGGAATACCTGTAACCAGCTAAGGAAGCTAAAAATTCCCCAGGGTCCATGAGTCACAAAAGCTGGAGGGGAGGGATGACCTTTAAGGTGTTTTGTCAAGGCTTATTTTATATTTGCCAAGCAATAAGGAGGTTATTGCACTGACTGACAAATTTCACTACCCAGGGGATTTCTTGCTGTTAATCTCAAATTTTCATTTTCCTCTTCCTTTTAAGCTATTATCCCGTAACTCCCAGCTAATGCTCCTCTTCCACAACTGTGCTCCTTACCATTAACATTTTTTAAGCATAGTTTTACTGTTTTCTCCAACCCCACACAAACGACAGGCAAAGAAGCAAGGTCGGTGCCCAAGTCCAAAGCACAGCACCAGGTAGCGAGGAGGTGCAGAAGATATTCCATGTCAGGTAGGGATGGACTTGGGCAGGAAGTATCTCATTAGGTGTATCTTCTCTTTTGTCAGCAAAAAACTATGGGATTTAGAGGGGAGATGAAGAGATGAGAAGATGCAGAGTGGGAAAGTGCAGAGGACTGAGCAAGGGGAATCCTGTGTATTCACTACCCTAATAAACTGCCTCACCAGAGAGAGAAGACGGAGAAAACCTTAAACACAACTTGGATTACCCTGCTGTGTAAGTCCTTTGGCCTAGAGCCCACCTCACACATCCCAACCCAGAGCTCCACTGAGTCCTCCTCTCAATAACCAACCTGGAACATTTCAATCCACATGGCACCTTGCCACAGGCCCATTTTCTCCTCAAATCTGTGGTTTCTGCTGTTGCCTGAAGCTCCTCTTTCACCTGCCTGCCCAGGAGGTGTGCAGCTGCTTCCTACCTTAAAGTTATTGAACAGACTAGATATCAGCTGGGTCAAGAAATTTGATTTTAATTTACAAGCTATCACAGTTACTGCCTTTTGGGGACAAGATAAGCAAGTATGAGATTTATAAGGGACAGTAAACAGCATTCTTATTGGGTTGAGGTGTAAAATATGTTTCAGGGAAAAACTAAGCATGATTCTACTTTGTCCACTTCTATAAAATTACAGAACTCTGTAACTCTTCTGTTACAGAACTTTCCCCCATGATAAAGCTTCTTTTTGTAAGAAAGTAATGCCACTGGCTTCAGCTATACTCCCTGTCAGTATTTCAAAGAGCACACCACAGGTCTCCCAGTGCTTCTAAACAGAAGATGCTCTTGTTCATCTACATTGGGTGGAAGAATGAGCACACACATGTCCATATGGATAAGTCTGTACCAGAGAGTGTGGGGAAATTTATTCCCCATGGTGGGTAAGAAACTGAAACAAAGAAAAAGCCTTTCTGTGAGAGAAGGTGGGGTTGAAATTTTGAGGACTGTGAAGTGACTGTCCTGATTTTGTCTAATGATTCATTTTACAAGAGATCTCATTCGGTGTGCTGGATTTCAGAAAAGCAGAGTAAATGAAAGCAAAAGTAATCAAATATGCAAAGAGACAGACCCAGTCAAATCACACTCACAGTCCTAGCTCACCTTCGAATCCCATTATTCAATTAGAGCTAAATAAATTGCTGTGTCAAATAATGTAAGTCTCTTTCAGCTGATATATTTGAATTAATAGAAGATGAATCGTCTATATTAGATTTATAGAGGAGAACACAGAAATGCTAATTTTTTTTAATAAATTTGAAAAGGTAAAAATATGCTTAAAAATATTTTTAATACCTAGCTCTCACCCCAAGGGACAGGAATTAAAAACTTAGTCAGAACTGACATTTATAAATCATCATCCCTTTCTTTACTTATAGAGATCAATTTAAGAGAATTCAGCCACTCTGTATTTGCATCTGAGATGTGCTCATCAGAGACCAAACCTCTGCAGTCAGGAGAATATTACAGAGCTGAAGATCATTACCGACCAGCTCTGCCCTCAGAGTTCCCTGTCACCCTGGCTAGTCAGCCTGCTCCCTTCAGGCAGAAGACAACTCACATTCCAGGAGATTTAAATAAGATTAAAATCTCTCAAAACCCCAGCTGTGTCAGCACTCCTAGCAAAACTATCTTTACATTCTTCTTTCAAACAACCCTTGGAGCGAAACATAGGTTAATAGATTTATTCAGGAATCCTCTCGATGATTTAAAAGCAGCTTTCATGTTCACCCCTCCCCTAGGCATCTGCACTTCTATGATGACCATTGCTACACTGCTCCTCTGCCAACGTGTTCCTCTACCTGAGTTTTGCTGCAGGCAGCAGGGACTAAGGGTTCAAACTTCACCTGTATCTCCACCTACCCACCTCAAAGAGACAGGAGCTGTAGGGGTGGAGGGAGAACTGAGGTCTCCTAGCCTGCGGCCAAGTCTCTCGGGTGTTTGCTAACCCCAGCCTGCATCTGGAGTGGCTGCTGCTGTCATCTTCCCTTCTCCAAGACAACGGCGCTTATTATTGTGCATTAATGACTCTTCACTTCTCCCCCTCTGCCAGGATGCTAGAGCATTTCCAGTATAAAAGGATTTCCAAGCCCCCTTCATTTCTGTGACTAGTGATGTGACTGATCAAAGAAGCAGCTGGGTCCCTATCTGTTGCCTTGTGCCTGCAAAAGAAAAAGCAGATTAGCCGCAGAGGTACAAAGCAGCGGGAGTCCTCCTGTTTGCCGTGGAGCCTCTGGGGACAGCAGTCACTGTTGGTTAGCTGAACTAGATAAATTTATATTGTTTCTGGGTTGTTTTTTCTTGTTTTGTTTCAAAATTCTAGGTTGAAGACTCTGGACATGACATTTCCTTCCTTCCCAGATGGGTGGCACATTTGCTACTTGCCAGGCAACCTAGGAGACTTGCGCAGACATTCTAAATGATGACATCTATACATGTGAGAAGAAAAATTTGACAGATGCAAGAAATGATAAAGGAGAGAAGCACATGAGCTAATGATGGTCATACATTTTAGATACATAACACAATAATTACTAAGAGCTTATTTTTTGTTTTCAGTGTGAGAGTTGCCATATTTAGAGTTCATGAACATCAGCAGCATTCCTTCAGCAGGTAGGTTCGTTGCAGCACATCCTTTAAGGCAGTAAGAGGCTTGTCCTCTTCTGCTTTTTTATAGCAAAAATTATCTGTGTGACTCCATTCCACTTACTGGAGAAAAGAGTTACTTCTCAAGGTATATTTTTCTGGTAACTGTACATATAGAGGAACTACAGTAAAACTATCACGAAGAAAAAAATCCGTGTGGAAAGTTTGTACTGTAGCTATGACCTTGGAGCAGACATACAGTCTGTTTTTGAAAAAGACTGGAAAGCTCACAGCTTCCAAACTTTCCATAAACAATTTCTGGAAGAAAAACAAATAAACAAATCCAAATGAATGAAAATCAGGTGATCAGATTATTTTCAAAACAGATGTGTTTCAGGCTGTTAAAGAAAACAACTAGGGAATACAGATGTGCACAAAATTAAATCCGTATTATCCTACACACACTGTAGTACATGGAAAGATCACTATCTGCTGCCATCTGCAAGAATTATCTTCAAACTCTAAGGAACAAACGAGACATGCAAGACATTTCATATCTTTAGGACACCTCAGGAGCCTGTGAAGAAATGCTCTGTATTTAACTGACAGTCAGGATTATTTTATGCCAAGTGTTCATATTAAAACATTTCTTACATACCATTTTGTACATGGTTTTTGAATTCATGTTTTACATAAGAACTCAAATCAAACAAACCATCCTGATCACAGAAAGTTTCCACTTTTGGTGATTATCTGAACTCATAAGCCAAAATGTGGTTTAATTAAAATCAAATGGAGGATAGGTAAATTTACATATGTGCATGCATGTGTACATTCACATATGCCCAGGCATGTGATGGAAATCAAAACTGAAAATAAGAGACATTTAACAGATTCTTATATCATCAGATGCATGTATTATATTAACAATCTCCCCTTTTATTAAAAGAAATAAAAGATAAGTTGTTTTTTTTTACATTAAAGATAAAATTTGGGCTTCCGATACTATATATGAAATTTGTACCATCATCTACAGGAATTCAGTATAATATCAATTTACTTAGTCTTACAATTAAAACTGCCTATCATCCAATGCATTTGACCACCAAAAGGTTAAATTACTAAATCCTTACCGGATGCTTATTACAGATACAGACATAAAACATGCATATGTTGTACTGACATATCTCTCTCTTATCAAAGAGTGTTGTTTATTTAAAACAATTAAAACAATAATTAGAACCTACACAGAAGACTAAGTAAATTTTATTAAAACAGTTGCTCATGCCAGCAGCTTCAACAGCCCCATGGCATAAGCCATGCTGGTATCAACACACTCAATTCATTGACAGAGGAGAAAAGCCAGAAACTATGGGAAATGCAGACCATCTGCCCGATCCAGATGCAGTAGAACACACTTCTTACCTCCAAAGCTATTTACCAGCAACAAACTGAGATAAGATCAGTGTAATCATCTAACCACAGATCTAAGAGATTTTTTTGCATCGTAAGTAAAACTGAACTACATTAATTTGGATTGAAAGAAAACTTTGCCAGTTTTTCTCAGCTTTAGCATCTCCCTCAGTATAAACCAATTCTAAATAAAAGAGATAACCTAGATATGGCAAATATTATTGAAACAAACATACGCACACAAGCAGACAAGAACAAAGTCCTCATTCTTCTGCTGGTATGTTCTAAAGATGCCTAATTGATTTAATGGACAATGAGATTTAATTGCAGCTTTTAAGTTCCTAGAAAGTCGTAGTCTGCATACATATGATTTCCTTCCAATACCGGACCCATTTTAGAACACAAGCTATAGTCTCTATGCCCGAAAAAGAAATTAAGTAGGAACATTTCTTACCTTGAAATTATGAACCTTCTCGTATTTTGGAACATGTTCATTTTCTTTCAGAGTTGCTCTTCGGACAAGCGATGTCAACTGTGAATAAGCAAAGAGTTTAAGAGGTTGCCAGATTGTCACGGACGACTTCCGAGCGCCCAGTTTCATGCCCAAGGCTGCGAGCAGTAGATCGCGCTGCCGGCTGTGCTGCCCTGCGCGGTGCCCCGCGGCGCCGCTCGCCCGGTGCGCTGCCCAGGGCTCCCTGGCCGGCATCGCTGCGCGGCGGAGGCGGCGCGGCCCGGGCCCGTCACACTCGGGCTGGCGGGGCGCGCGGACATGCGGAGCTCAGGTGCAGGGGCGGCCATGCAGGGCCGGCGCTCGGCGGCGGGGGGCTCGGCGCGCCCGCGGGCGGCCGGCGGGCGGGGGCGCGCGGCAGCGGCAGCCGGCGGCGGGGACGCGCAGCCCGCGGCCGCTCCTCCATCGGCGGCGGCCGGCGCGGGGGGCGCGGGGACGCGCACGCCTCGTGCCCTGCGCACGCCTCGTGCCCTGCGCACGCCCCGCTCCCGCGCGGCTCCGCGGGGAAGGGAGCGGGAACGGCACCGCCCCGGGGCGGCCGCAGCCAAGGGAGCCAATGGAGCCTGGTGGGCTCCGGGAGAGGCACCCGCGGGATGAATCAAGCACCGCTGCAAAATGGCACCTCCGCGCCCTTCGGGGGTGCGGGGACAGGCGGGGCAGCGACCGGCAGCCCCAGGGGGCAAGGCAGGGAGCGGCTCTCCCCGATCCCCCCGTCTGACGTGGCCCGTGCACCAGGAGGTACGGCCGGGAGCGGTTAACGAGACCGCTGACGCTCATCACTTTTCCCCTAAAATTACATTTTTCGATTCTTTTCATATAAAAAGAGGGTCACCAATCTCAAATCATGTAGGGATGCGAACACAAATGCCACTCAAAGTTCATCGCACCACTCCATCCACCAAAGACCCGAACCCCGATTTGCTGGTGGTGCCTCTTTTTAGGAGTTTACAGACACTAACAGAAGGTGAATGACCACAGTTTCCAACTGGATCGAAACCCGAAGTTTGGACGGGTGCAACTGACAGTGAAATGTGCAACGGGCAGTCAGGTCCTGGCTAGCCCTTGCACAAAGTAAAGGAAACAGTATTTCACACAACCATTAAAGCCCTGGACTCGTTGCCTTAGGAGCAAAAATCAACGGGCTCACAAAGGACAGGGCAGACCATGACATACCCACCCGGAGCTGCTCACCCAGGCAGCTCCCTCCAGCTGCGCACTGACAGTCGGGAGGAGACACTAAGACGGCCACTCGACTCCTCTGCTTTTTCTTCTAGTGCTCTCCAAGCATGTGTGAACGGTCTTTGCCAGACACAGCAAAAATGGACTCTTGATCTGACTTAGTACAGCCAGGATTTACACCGTGGGGCTGACCACCATCCTGACATTCAGGGTGCCAGGAGACCTCTCCCCGTGCACAGCCTGCCTGTGCAGTCAGAGCGCAGCCCTCCCTCCCCTGCCACAGGCTGCAGCACCGCAACTGCTCTCCCTTCTGCAGCAAAGGTATTTTTATCTCTCCTGAGTCAGTAACCAAAGACAAGCACAGTTTGTCACAGGCTTCTGGGTGGAATGGGTATGTGCTTTGCAGCTGGATCAGAGTGTTACAGGTTAGCTCAGTCCTGCCAATACAGCTGAGAGTAATACTCACTGGGAGCCCCTCTTCTGTTCCCTTGCATGGCCACCTGTACCTTCTCTACACGTTTTAAAAATATGCTGGGTCTCAGCACAGGGTCAGGGTGCAGAGATTAAGGATCAAGGCTGGTGCTTCACCAAACACTCTGCAATAGAAGTTAATAACTAATAATCAAAACACTGGCTACAGATTATACAGGGTGAAGTTGTCAGGCATTAGGACTACCTGACTCAATTCCCACTTTCAGTACAGACAGGGGGCTGGCTGACCCATCCTATCAAGAAATAATTTTCCAATGACTACCTCAATCTGCCTGTCTTGCTTTTAACCACTCCCTTCTCCTGCAGGTGCATAAATACTCCTCTGGCCTTTTTCTGCACATCCTTGCAAATATAACACTCCATGGCTATAGGAGATCAAGAAAACTGAGGTGAGAAGTAAGAGATGGCAAAAACTGACCACTTCATCTACGTAAGTGTGAGAATAGTAGGGACTCTCAGGGGAGGAGGAAGCAGGCAGGCTTTTGAGCTCATTCTTTCCTTTCCTTCTAGCTAAAGTCACTTCACAGTTTCATTCCCAAGAACTACGTCAGGTAAAAGTCCTCATGGAACAATGTGGACCTACAGCTGCCCCAGAGGAGTCATCCTCTCCAGACAACTTTGAGTAACAACAGGCTCAGGAAGCAAATTGTGAATTCTAGAAACATTTCATTACACTTTTCCTTGGAACCAACCCAAAATTCCTCTTATTTTTTAAAGGGAAAAAATACATCAACAAAATTTCATATTGGGAAATAGATTCTTTGAAAATTTAATTTGTTGGAAATAAATAACCCAGTGATTTCCAATAATACATTTACTATCAGAATCTACCTTAAGAAGCCAGACAAAGCATGCTGAACTTTGGTTCATCATTGGTAGAGCACGTATCTGGTTTTTTGACATACTTACTCCTTAATTGTCAGCATCCCTTTTCCTAATTCTGAAGAACTGAGTTACTTTCAATGGCACTTTAGAGTCATGCTAGCAGAAACAGATCTCTGGATCCTGGAAAATTAAATTTAAGAATGCCAATAAAAAGACAAGTGAAACTACCCAACAGGGAAATGTCCTATCTCATGGTTGTAATTATGAAAATGTGTTATAATCTGGAAAGTAGTTATATGATTATGAATTTTAATTTTAACATTGCTTTGTGTTACAGTAATCTAACTCAGACTGCTTATTGGTTATACATAAATCAGCTTCCCATTGTTCAGTGCAAAGCATTTTCTCCTGTTTACAAATAAAGGAATACTGGGCTCACCTACACCTACAGACATTCACCTGTGCTATATGCACTACAGTTGTGTACACCAGAAACCTACACTGAAAGGAAGTTCACAGAATATGCCGAGTTGGAAGGGACCCACAAGGATCATCAAGTCCAACCCTGGCCCTGCACAGGACCATCCCCAAGAGTCACACCACGTGCCTGAGATCATACAAACTTTGTCATGGTCACTTCCCTGGGGAGCCCGTTCCAGTGCCCAACCGCTCTCTGGGTGAAGAACCTTTTTCTAATATCCAGCCTAAATCTCCCCTGACACAACTTCAGGCCATTCCCTCAGGTTCTATCACTGGTCACCACAGAGAAGAGATCAGTGCCTGCCCCTCCTCTTCCCCTCACAAGGAAGTTGTAACCGCAGTGAGGTCTCCCCACAGTCTCCTATTCTCCACGCTGAATAGACCAAGTGACCTCAGCTGCTCCTCATATGGCTTCCCCTCAAGGCCCTTCACCATCTTTGTTGCTCTCCTTTGGATGCTCTCTAATAGCTTAATATCTTTCCTATATCACAGTGAGTTAAAGTCATAAATTCAGCAACTGAAAAATTATGAAAAAATACATATATGCTATCTATTTCTTACATAGGTTTCCCCAACATAAAATTGTGCTATAATTAAAATTTATACAGCTGCTTTCGAATGACATAATTTTTTAATGCGTATGCCTAACTTTGGGAGTTTGGCTTTGCAACGTAGTGCTCTTCTTAACACAGACCAATTCCCTTTTTTTTCGAAAACCAAAATGAAGAATGAAATTTCTGTTGTACTCAGCTTCCTGACCACGTTTTGGGTCATCAGGCAGGCCCAGATCTAACCAGTATGTGAGATAAAAGGTAAGAGAGAGCAAGCTACTGTCCTCAGGTAGCCCTAGTCACTGCAGAGGTGAGTCATCATTCCTGAGATCAAACAAGTGAAGTCACAGACTTGGGGCTTCAACTCAAATCCTGCAGGAAGCTATACTCTCCTGAGACATTCTCCTGCTCCAGGCGCTCCATGCTGTCTCTATTGCCTACAGTCTGTAGGTCCTGCTCTCCTTACACCCTTGGATGGCTTTTGATTCAATGCCTGCTCTCCACCACTGGCTCCTGCATTCCCACCCGCCAGCAAAATCTCCTCTCCAGAGCCCTTTCATTTTCCAACAAGTTATCTTTTTAACTTGCTGTGCCTGAAGTCTATCTTAATGGGCACAATTATCTGATACTGCCTGCTACATACTGGATGAAAATGAGGCAGAAATCCAGGGAGGAAAGTAATCTCCCTTCCACTTTTCTAAGTCTTGATTTTATTTTTTATTAATTGTTTGTGACAGACGTGCCATCATTACATGTGTAAGGAGCAATATGCTGTGCAGACTCCAGGAGTAAAGAAACCGCAGAGCTGTCATTCTTAAATTTAATTTCAGGACATGATTTCACAGGATTGAGGTGAAATGAAAATGGAACGACTGGAAGCAATAGCCAAGCAGCCTGTTAGCAGAACATGCAACCAGAGCAGCCTCTCAGTCCTCTACATTTTAGTGACTTAAGCACTAAAAACCAAACCCAGCAACACGACAGCCTTTAAACCAAGATGTCTGTTTAGAGATTCTACATTGTACATATGGACTGAAGGGAAAAAAAAAAAAGGAAAAGACTGTAACCTGCTATTTCAAATGTTCTCATTTGTTATAAAACCTCAACTGTAAGAGTGGTTCAGTATAGATTCTTCTGGGACTCCACTTTCCTTACTTGTCTCTGGAGTAGTCCTTCAGAGTGCAGGAGAAACAGCTGTTTTCTTGAGCACTATTTGCTCTCAGTATTAGCTGCATAATGTATGCGTATTTTCTGGTCCTAATCTCCCAATCAGTAAGTCTTATTATGAAGCCTCCACAGAATTGATTTAAAAGTCATCCCTGACTTGCAGTAAATTCCAATTAGTTACTCACTGAAAGACATATTGTGGAAGTTTAATCCAGTCACACAATTCAGTCAACATCATACAAATTATCTTTCTAAAACGCGAAACCAATGCATTCCCATTTGTTGAGTAATACACTGAAGTTACTCCAGAAAAAAAAAAAAAACAACCAAAAAACCAAACCAAACCAGAAAACTTCAAGTCAAGTTAAGCTCACAAGTCCTAAAATAACCAGACCAGAGTTGATCAGGTCTCCTGAAGACTGTGTGCCTTTCCAATACAATGGAGTGTTTAGTTTCATGAGCACCTGGCTCTGCTCTTAAACACATTATCATGTTTTCTTCAGTCTCAGGAATGCATGTGCAGTAGACAGCAGGCTTTTCATTCTCATATGGTATTTTCATGTTGTTATGACTAAATAGGCCTTTATTATTTCAGACTTTATATATAATATGATTCCTTCCCTCAAAGGAACGTATTTTAATAATAATATTAGCCAGCAGTTATATTGCACGCATTTTTTAAAAACATCAAAGATGATGCCCTATTGTACATATATCAAGAAACAAGACATTTGGTTTGCTATGCAGTGAGCCACTGTACATTTTACCATATTCTGTATAGCTAACTTAGCCAAATGCATGTGCTCAGAAAATCCTTCCTTGTCTAAACACTTTATGAGCATATTTTATGGGCTCAGTACATGATTTTCAAAAGCTAATCAGTCAGATTGTGAAACTGAGCCCAATTTCCTCAATGCTGTTCTTAGTGGAAGCTTGTTCCATGCTAAATATACTTTCCCCAGTCATCTTTCATAGGATTGTTACAAGGGGGAAAATGCTACTTCTTAAATAAAAGTAGTGATCAGCTGCTTTCAATAAATTTTCTTCACTTGTAGATATACTAATACCAGGCATAGCCTCTGCCCACAGACATGTGGCATGAGCAGAGGGTAGGAATGCTATTCAAAGAAAAGGCCAACCTGAAAGCTGACAATCTCAGAAGCTGGGTGGGAAGGACCATCAGGGCTGGATTTCTCTTGCTGCCATTCCAACACAACCACGTTTACCTGGCACATGGACACCATCAGGCTCCCACAGTGCTCAAAGTATAATGGAATCCTCAGGCAACACAGAACCCCGCTTTCAGTTCAGAGTTAACCACAGGGGAGTTGGGGTTTAAGACACGGTTAAATGATGAAAACCTACTGCTGAGAAAAGTTCTGGTTTTTATAACAAAATTTTCCAAATGGACTGAATTCTAATTAAATCAGACCTTTCCCCACCCCCTCCAATGAAATACTTATTGCAAAATCCAATAAAATGGCTATTTACATCTTTTATGTAAGTGTATATAATTTCCACAGTAAGTAATGAATATTTTTATATCTAGAATCTTAGAAGTTGTTTTTAAATTTCAATTTTTAAATTGAAAATTTAATCAAACAAATTCAGCCAAAATGTTGTCTTGATTTAAAGTATGGCTGTTAAATTAAAAAAATAAATTTAGTTTAGTTTAAATTATGGAAAAAATGTTGCCCAATATTGCTGCTAGAAACTACAGCACTGACAGTGAGTTCATTCAGTACTGTATTGTGCAATATAATTAAAGTGTATTGGCATTATTTGGGAAGATTGTATGTTCACACTGGTGTGCTTACCATGTTTTCCTAACAAGGGAGCATACTCATAAAAAAGCAGAGAGATCTTAAAGGAAGCCAACAGAAAAGTTCTTCTGCAGCTTTAGTCCTTTAACCTACTGGTCCCTGCAGTTGATTGGGATCTGGGTCAGCCAGTTTATTTTGTTCCTGGTGGCAAGATGGGTTGCAGATTTGCTCCCAGCAGTTACCAATATGGGCCTTTGGAAATGACAATTCAAAACTGGGCACTGGCAAAAAGCACCCATGTGACTATTTCTCTCTTTCAGAAACTGGCAAGACAAAGCAAATGAACATTTATTGTTCTGGAGATATTGGCACAAAAGCAAGATACTTTTCAGTGGCAAATACAATCCATTTTACTCCTTAGGGAGAGGGCTATTTTGGTATATAACTATGGATCTAGCCATGGCAAAAATAAAATAAAAATGTCACAGTGCCTCCACTAAGAAGTTCTGTTTTTGGTCTAGTTCTGGGGGACTTCGCTAATGTCAAGCAACTTAGTTTTTAGGGAGGTCAGT